AATCTTTCCGTTTGGATTCGTACCTCCATGTTCGCGTGTCCCGATGGAATTGATGGTTTTTAGGGCGAACTACATGTTTGAAAGGTGTAGTTCGACTCACTAGACTGGAGAGTTCAAATATAGATTACTCGTGATCAGTTGCTCCTCCCATGGATTCAGGATAACCCAAGAGTATCTATGGTTCCACAGCCACTTCTCACGGAGACAGACCGACACAAAGTGCGCTACATTTTCGAAAGCTAATTTCTGTCGGGAACCGTAGTTCAATTTGAGACGCCATAATTCAGGATTGCTTATAGTCTACACCATCAATATCCAACATCATCGTGGTTCAAGCGTTGCATCGGTTGAGTTTACTGATGTGCATGCGTGCATTTCCGAATATGTGAGTTGCAGCAACTACGAACTGAGTGTTGTTAACAGTACGTCGTTCTGCAAGTCGGAAGCCTGAGAGTGTTGCTTATGATTCCGTCCACAGCTGTCCCTCTAGATTGCCTGACTATCCTCTGCCGTAGTATATCTCATTCAATATGACTGAGGCTTCGCGAGAGGCTGTTTCTGCTAATAAAATTGTTGATTATACACCTGTCCAGCGGACATCGATTACTGTGAACACAGCAGATGGCTGTGAGCTAGCGGGAATCATCTGGGCTCCGCGATCACACGCTGAGGGTAATCATCGGTGTCAAGTCCGCGTCCAAATACTCCACTTATCAGGTAGGGAGAGTGTCTTCATCATACTCGTGCATCCGTGGGGGAAAATGGGTGGTTCGCAAGCAAACATGGCCTCGCTAGCTAAGATGCTCTCTGAACGGTACCGTCTTCTGCTGTGACCAGCTCTAGTTTATTGATTTCATTTTAGAGAGGGATTCAACTGTATCACTTTCGACATGCGCGGGATTGGTCGTTCCACTGGCTCAAGCACCTTCACAGGGTCGGATGAAGTCAAGGACGTGGTGGCCATGGCCAACTACGTCAGAGAGAACCTTGTCCCCAAGGGTGATACCGCCCAGGTGTGATTGGTGGGAGTGTGATCCGCCACCTTACGCCTTGCTCATCAGATTATCCTGCTCGGGTCATCTGCGGGTGCTGCAATAGCAGGCAGTGCGGCTTCGCTGGTCGACAACTGTGTGGCGCTCATTTGTATTGGCTACACTTTCGGTTACATGGCGCGAATGTTATTCGGGAGTCGCATTTCTAAGCTGGAAAAGTTTACTGGTCCAAAGCTCTTCATCATGGGTATCACCATCTGCATCACATAGACGATCGTCATTTTCTCGTCGGCTTCAGGCACAGAGGACTGCTGGACGGGAGTGTCACAGTTAGTTTCGTATGTCCACAAGCTCGGCCCCTCAGCAGAGTATCGTCTTATCGATGGCGCTGGCCATTTCGATTTGGAGAACAGCACTGAAAGAA